AAAAAAAAAAAAAACAAAAAAAAAAAGATGGGTAGTCTGAAGTCCTCTCCTGTCCATCTCATCCTTACCTTGCCTGACTGCATGATCAAAAGTCCTATGTTGAGATATCCTGGCACAGTCGGTAGGTGTGCATGGTGCTCATCTCATGCTTGCATGCGGCTCTGCTGCTCTCTGGCCCAGGGGACAAGCACAGAGGCCAGGCACTATGCTTTCATGCCAGGCTGGGCCTGGCCATTATCTCCTTGACTAGAGTTTTCTTCACAGCCTAATGTATCTTAATGCTGGTAGAGTGCCTGAACCCTGTTTGTTTTGAGCGTGTATTCTTCTGTCAGCTTCTAAGAATAAAGGAAAATTTAAATTGTTTTGGTGCTACAAAGCCAAGCCCCAAGCAATCAGTGTGAGCACAGGTGGCAGTGTAACAGCTGCTGGTCTTGTTCTTCTCAAATCTTATTTTACAGTCTGTGAGGCAAAGACCTAGGGCACTTGCTGGCCTTTGGGGCTGGAGGAGCCTCCTCTTCTGGAAGCATTCCTGTCACCCTACCTGCTCTTGTGTGTCATTCTGACATCCCACGTGCTGAGCTAAAGCCAGCTACCTGCCTTTAATAATGCTGAAAGATCCACTTAGGGTTGTTTTTTCACATGTTTTGAGTGGTCTTAGATTGAGCCCTTGCCAGTTTTGCCATTCTGAAAAACTTTGGCTCTTGCTCTTCACTCCTAGGACAGATGATCTCCTAAGAGTGATGAAAGCCACTTCCTCTTTTCATTGGGTGCCCCCTTTCTCCAGCTCCTTTCTCTTTGCCCATAATATAAGCACAGGTGCTCCCTGTCACTCCCCATTGAGCCCTTGCTGCCCCAAATCATTTTTAACTCTTCTTCTGAGGCTTGATTGAGACCAGGGTCTTGGGCTGGCCTGTAGTCAGAGTCTCTTCCACTGTGCCTGGGAATCCGTGCAGAAAGCCCATTTCCAGTCTCTGGCCAAGTTGCCATTGGTGATGTCCTCTACCCTCAAGTGAGGGGCCTCCTCAGGCTGACCAGCTTCATCCCTGCCATTCCTGGGCAAGCCAGAGTATGAGTGTGCATGACCTACATAGCCTTTGTTGCTGGGCACCTCCCTTCTCAGTGTGACAGGTTACAACATTGCTTTATCCCCCAGACACCTAGGCCTGTGTCCCTTCTCCTGCAGGTGATCTCAGCTCTCCACTATGACCTACCTGTCTTACCAGCAGATTGGGCTTTTAAAATAGCTGAGGCTGGATGTGGTGGCGCATACCCGTAATCCCAGCATTTGGGAGGCTGAGGCAAGAGGATTACTTCAACGTCAAGGCCATCTTTGGCTACAGTGAATCCAAGGCCAGCCTGAACTATATAGCAAGACCCTGTCTCTAAATGAAATAATATAAATAAATAAAACAGCTGAATGTGTCCCTGTTTATTGAAACCTCTGAGCCCTTCTAGGGAAATGGCTGGTTCTTATTCGTTCTGTCACCACTCAGTACAGGGTTGCCTTACGAAGCGTTTATCCAGTGGCTGGGCGCCTCTTACCTGTCTCTGTCATCCTGGTGATGGGACTACGGGACACCTGCCTCATGGCACACAGTTAAGGAATGAATGCTGGTAACCTTGGGAGAAATGAGCCTTCTCAGCCTTATCCCGAATTAGCTTTGGGACAGGGAATGGACAGCTGGTTATGGTTGCATTCCTTCCCTTGCCCTCAGAAAGCCACACAGGGTAGAAAGGTGTACATCAGGCATGGGTTGACTCACAGTTTACCTTTGCTGGTCCTGTGTTTGTCCCATAGTTCATTGCCTGAGGCAAAGAACAAGAGCAGCTCAACTTTTGAGACCTGCCCAAGGCCAAGTGAAAAGCAAGAGGCAGAACCAGGGGAGCCGGATCCAGAGCAGAAGAGGAGCCGCGCTCGGGAGCGAAGGCGAGAGGGCCGCTCCAAAACCTTTGACTGGGCTGAGTTTCGCCCTATACAGCAGGCCCTGGCTCAGGAGAGGGCCAACACCATGGGGCACCTTAATGCTCGTGAGCCTGGGTACCCCGAGGTGGAGCCAGGTGAGCTAGAGCGGGAGCGTGCACGGAGGCGGGAAGAACGCCGCAAGCGCTTTGGTATGCTGGATGCTGTGGATGGACCAAACATCGAAGATGCCACCCTGTGCATGGAGGTGGACCGGAGCCCAGGGCTACCAATTGCTACCGACCTTAAGACACAAAACGTCCATGTGGAAATTGAGCAGCGGTGGCATCAGGTGGAGACCACCCCTCTCCGAGAGGAAAAGCAAGTGCCCATTGCCCCCTTGCACCTGTCCTGTGAGGATGGAAATGACCGGCTCTCTACACACGAACTGACCTCTCTGCTGGAGAAGGAGGTAATGCCAGGGCAGCTTCCTCTGCGTTAGCTTGTCCTGAGCACCAGCTGTGCTGGCTGCAGCCTGAAAGCTCAGCCACATAGTCCTCCCATCTGGGACACAGGTCCTCACAGTCAAAGTGAAGGCTGAGGTAGAACAGAGTACCAGATCAATAGGGAGTGGGTAATGAGCCTTTCTAGAATGGTGGATGCATGTAGACCTGTGGCCAGACACTAGGCTGCTGGGTTGTATAGGCCCCAGATAGTGGGCCTTATTCTACATGCTACAGCACATGAACTAGATTTTAAGCAGAAGGGTGTGTGCAGAGTTTGGGTTCTGCCTGCACAAGACAGCTCTGGGGGATACAGGCCAAAGCTGGAGGCAGAGGTAAACTCTGGTTTTTTGACAGTGGCCTCGGGACAGTCGCTTAGACCAGATGGGGTAGAGGACAGCATCGGGAGTCAAAGGCTGAGCCCCAGATGCTTCGGATATGAAATAGGACTGGTGTGCTACTATAGGGCAAGTGGTTAGAAGGAGTCTGGGTAAGTGCTGGGACCTGGAAAAGAGTTAGGTAGGCAGGACCCGCATTCACAGCTCATGGGTTCTTAATGAATTTGTGTCCCAACATCAGTTCTTAAGTGCCAGTTTGACATTACAAAACTCCACACCATGAAATTTCATTTAATGAACAAGATTATTAGAAATACTATAGGAGGTTGGAGGTGCAGCTCTATGGTAGAGTGTATGCATAGCATACACAGGGCCCTAAGTTCTACCCCAGTACTGCAAAACATGCATATGTGTGTGCCCACACATACACATGCACACACAAACACATATAGTGTGTCCTGTATCTATTCAGGAACCCATATTTGTTTTAAAAAATCCGAGATCTAATACACTGACTTCAAGCATTTTGGATAAATGGTACTTGGCCTGTGTAGTGTGCTCTGCTTGTTGTGAAATACCCTGTCACCTTCCCCTCAGGGATGCCCTTCAACAGAAAGCTTTGAATACATCCTTTTTGTACTAGGCAATAGATTAAAAAATCTAAATGGCATGCCTGTTTAGCTTACCTCATGCTTTACCTCTTTTTTCCTATTTTATATTAAATTTATGAGTCTGATAGTTATCACTACAATCAACACTTTGACTTTTCTAATACTATTAATAAAATAATAAAGACAGTGGAATAAAACAATTCAAATTCACATGGTTCTAAGCTGTCAAAATGGGCCAACAGCCTAAAGCCAAACACAAAATCATCAGTTTGTGTTTTGGAGAACAGTCTCTGGGAGCAGTCTTTAATGTGTCACAGTCATGGATCTCCCTGCTTCTCATAGTCCAACCTGGTAGTGCCTTGTCTACTCTACTGCACCCCAGCTCCCTGACCACCAGCCCCTGAGGGAGTAGGGCGTCTCAGCCTTACACACAGCTAAGCATCATGCAGGACCTAGGAAAAATGTAAGGAAGAGGTGGATGGGTGAATGAGTGAATCTTAAAGCTGTTGAAAGCAAGTTGAGTGTGAAATGGCTTACAGATTTCCACATCTTGTTTGAGGACTACAGGAAACCTTTTTGCAGACAGAGCTTTTTGTGGGATTCAAATCCATCATGCATACCTGATCAAATAGTTTCATTTGAGGCCACCGCAGGGCCTGGACTAAGGCCTACTTAGGGCCCCCCATTGGCCACAGTAGCCCCTGTGGAGATTAGCATGGCCTGTGTGACCATGCAGAGAGCCCCATTATACCCCCCACAAGGTGGTCTTCCTTCTGCAAATTTGCAAAGCCCTTACTTCTCAGAAATGAACTTCCCTCATGGGCATTGGAACTTGTATAGGGCCCTCACAATGGAACCATGAGCAGGTATAGAAGTTTGTGGACTACCTTAAGGGGAAGGACTAGACTATCCCTCAGCCCCCAGAGACAGGCAAATGTATCAATGTCGTTTATAGCTTGGGCTGGAAACTTCAGATACAGATCACCTCTGCACATTTGAAACATGGAGAGCCAAAAGTTCTGTGTTGGCAAAGGCATCATAATATGCTACATTTAGGAATCCCTCTGGGGGCCCATGCTATGCAGCTGCTTCTCTCTGTTATGTTTCTTAAGAGTTTTTCTTTTTACCAACAGCTGGAGCAGAGCCAGAAGGAAGCCTCGGACCTTTTGGAACAGAATCGGCTCTTGCAGGACCAGCTGAGGGTGGCACTGGGCCGTGAGCAGAGTGCCCGGGAGGGCTATGTGCTACAGGTAGGATGGGGCAGCAGCCAGGGGACTTGTGCACCTGGGGCTTCAGGGGGAAGGGTGCAGGCACGGCCCTCAGGTTAGGAATGTGCAAACCTGGCAGAGCTTGGCCTCAGCTCCTCTGCCCCAAGGACCAAGGCATTTAGTGTGCTGGAGGCTCTTTTTTGTTTGTTTGTTTTTTCTTCTACTCTGATGTTTTGAGGAATGTGCCTGAAAACCCCTACAACTAAAGGATTATAGGGGTGGGGGTTGGGGGTTGTAATGAAATCACTGTGCTGATCTCTCCTGTAGGCTTTAAATGTTACCAGTATATGGGCCAGGGATTTAGCTCAGTGGTTCCACCACCTGCCTCACAAGTGCAAGGTCCCGAGTTCCATCCCTGATACCAAAAAAACAAAAAAGAACCACAACAACAAAAAAAGTAGCCAGTATGTTTCTTAGGAACGCCATCCATCTGCATGCATTTCTCATTGTGTTCATAATAGCGAGATTGGGCCCATTGTATAAACTGGAGGAATTGAATCACACAGTGAGCCAGATACTGTGCATAGACAGCAGTAGGTTAATGGCAGAGCTAGAACTAGACCCTGCCTGAGCCCCTGTCTCATCCACACCTGCAGGTGGATGTACCTGTCACCACTGGCCTAGGAGTCTCCCACTTCTTACTTTCTGCCCTGGCTAATGTTTCAGTAGGATATGGCCAGCCAACCCACCACCAGCCCAACTTGGAGGGCAAATGAGTAAGGTGCATCCTGGGTCCTGAGCTGACACCCCCACCCCAGAATCCTTCTGCCGGGATTCTCTGCCCTCACCCTCTGTTCTGATCACAACCAGATCTGCAGCATGTGGCAGCCCTGATGTGGGTATGTCACAATGCAGGAGGTGCCCATGAACAAGGGAAAGCAAGCAGTAGATGTCACTGTCTTGCAGCATTCCAGGTCCCATGCTAGCTCCAGGACACAATGCAGACATGCTTCTGCCCTAGTGGAATTACTGTGCTTACAGGATTGACCACTAAGTGCTAAGGGAATAGTGGAGTGGGGTGCCAGAATATGGGACCTAAGCTTTAGCAAGGCTGAAAATGGGACATTGGCATAAGAGTCCTAGGTTTGAGTCCTGATCCTGTCACTGACCCCAGAAGCAGATGTACCTTGCCCTTGCATTGACAGCCTCCTGCCTGTGTACACTTAGGCCTGTTGATCCCCAAGAGCCCTTTGGCTCTCAGATACCCAGTCTCAGTAGTGAGTTGACTGACTCTTTCTAAACCTTTGTGTACTGAGGTGTCCTGGGCAGCAGGTGTCCTGGTAGTGCTCAGCTGCCCACTGACGGGAGCCTACCCGCCTTCCTGCCTGCCTTTCTCCCCGCTGTCTTCTGCTGTATGTGCCCTTGGCCTTCTCTCTTTCCCCCACATACCTCCATCTTCCTCCTCAGCCCCTTCCAGCAAACAAATTATGCTTAATTCAGACCCTTGGACCTGGAATCAAGCCTTGAAAGGCATCTACTTCCTTAATATCTAATTCTGGGAGCCTTTAGATCATCTATCTATACAGGCCCTTTTGGTTTGGGAGCATCTTTTGTAAGTGTTGGTTGGACCCTGTACTACAAGAACTGACCTCACATCAGGTGGTAAAGATACTGCCTACGGCTTTGCACATTGCTAACCTGGGAGCCTGCCTCTGCTAATATGGACCATTGATGTAGCCTGCACCAAAGGCTTGTTGAGCAGACCAGCCAGGCTGTTCTTTATAACTTCCTGCTGGGTCTAACAAGTCTGAGATCTAGAAGTCAGAAGGAGCAGGGCCTGGGGCTAAGGGTCACAAGGTTGACCCCAGGAACACTGGACTAACTGCTGGGAGGAGATTGCATGGTTTGGACATTGAGCTTGGATTTAACTGGAACTTTAACTGAGTGTCACATCTGTGGCTTCCCCACCAGTAGACCAAGAGGGAGCTGGGCAGGCCAGAGTCTAGGCCAGACTCTCCTCATTTGTGTTCATTCATGCTGTTTATTTTGCGTTACATTAGCTTTATTCTGCATGCCTTTCAGTTTGGGGAGTTTTCTTTGCTTTGTTCTGTTTTTTTGCATGCTTCGCTCCACAAAAGTTTGTTTTGTTGATTATTATGTTCACTCCATGGTTTTCGTTCCCCCTCATTTTGTCTTCTTATAGGTAGAGATTAGTTCTTCCTATCCCTGTGGAGGCCTGGTTATACTTTCCAAAGGAAAATGCTGTAGATGTTTCCTTACTGACATATCCTGAGCAGTTAACCTTCCTTCCTTCTCTTTCTTTTGGAAGGAAGTGGCATCACTTATCTGCACCTTGCGTCCTGTGCTTGTTTAGGATCTGTGGTCTAGAACTGTTTACTTTTTGTTTTGCAAAACAAACAGTTGCAGACACTGTGCTCTCCTGTCCCCCTGCTTCCCAGCACCCTCTTGTCCTTCAGTCTCCGTTTCGCTGCTCTGTGTATTCCATTATTCAGTTTTGTTTGGTTTATTTCTCTTAAAAACTGTTTGATTAGAACTGTTTTTTGATGTTATTGTCCATGTTTTCTGTTTACCTGGAAGCAGCCACTTAACAAAAATATTAAAATAATTCGTTGGATTTTTTTTTTTAATGGGAAAAAAAGTTGTACAAAGGATAAAAGCCATATTCACCACGGAACTTTTCTATGGTCCATCCTGGCCAGAGGTGTGACACTCAGAACGGGGAGGCCCGAGTGTTACTAACCAGTATTTCATCAATTTTTTTAAGACTGAAGTGGCTTCCTCCCCGTCGGGTGCCTGGCAGAGGCTCCATAAAGTCAATCAAGACCTCCAAAGTGAGCTGGAAGCCCAGTGCCAACGGCAGGAGCTGATCACACAGCAGATTCAGACCCTGAAACGTAGCTATGGGGAGGCGAAGGATGCAATCCGGCACCATGAGGCCGAGATCCGGAGCCTTCAGGCAAGGCTCAGCAATGCTGCTGCTGAGCTGGCCATCAAGGAGCAGGCGCTGGCCAAGCTCAAGGGCGAGCTGAAGCTGGAGCAGGACAGGGTTCGTGAACAGCTGGAGGAGCGACAGCACAGCGAGGCTGCCCTTAGTGGTCAGCTGAGGGTCAGCGAGCAAAAGCTTAAGAGTGCTGAGGCCCTGCTGCTGGAGAAGACACAGGAGCTTCGAGACTTGGAGACACAGCAGGCGCTGCAGCGAGACCGGCAGAAGGAGGTGCAGAGACTCCAGGAGCGCATTGCTGACCTCAGCCAGCAACTGGGTGCCAGCGAGCAGGCCCAGCGGCTAATGGAGGAGAAGCTGCAGAGGAACTATGCACTGCTGCTAGAGAGCTGTGAGGAGGAGAAGCAGGCACTGCTGCAAAACCTGAAGGAAGTGGAGGACAAGGCCATTGCCTATGAGGACCAGCTGCAGGGCCACGCACAGGAAGTGGAAGCCCTCCAGAAGGAGAAGCTCACTGCCAAGTGTGAAGGCAGTGAGCAAGTGCACCAACTGGAGGAGCAACTGGAAGCCCGGGAGGCCAGTATCTGCCAGCTTGCTGAGCACATGGAGAGCCTTCGCGATGAGCGAGACCTCATCAGACAGCGGTTCCAAGAGCTGATGGAGTGTGTGGCCGCTTCTGACGGGGACGTGGCTGAGCTTCGGGAGAAGCTGAGGGGAAGAGAGGCTGACTACCAGAGCTTAGAGCACTCACACCAGAGGGTCTCTGGCCAGCTGCAGAGCATGCGTACTCTTCTGAGAGAGAAGGAAGAAGAGCTGAAGCACATCAAGGAAGTACATGAGAGAGTTCTAGAAAAGAAAGATCAAGACCTCAGTGAGGCTTTGGTTAAAATGATTGCATTAGGGAGCAGCTTAGAGGAGACAGAAAATAAACTGCAGGCAAAGGAGGAGATTTTGAGGAAATTTGCAAATGAGTCTACAAAGAATTTGGAAGAATCACAGAGTACCCTAGAGGAAACTGAGGAAGATGGTGTTTCACTCTTGAGCCAGAAGCTACCAGCTGCTGGGGCAATTCCAGGATTACCACACACACAGCTGGAGGACGAGGATGTAGGAGCTGGCCTAGGGGAAGAATGTGACAACAGTCCCAGTAGAGAAGGGGGCACAGTCCCAAAGACCATGGAAGTTATGGACAGAGAGGGACATCTACAGAGCACAGTCAAGCCTGACCAGGGAACACCTGGTGTTAAAAGGCAAAGAATCCGATTCTCTACAATCCAGTGCCAAAGATACATACACCCTGAGGGGTCTGAGAAGACCTGGACCAGCAGTACATCTTCAGACACCAGCCAGGACCGGTCGCCCTCAGAGGAGAGCATGTCCTCTGAGGCTGCCCCCAGCATACTGCCCACAGCTGGAGACTCAGAGACATACCTTTCCATCATCCATTCCTTGGAGACCAAGCTATATGTCACAGAGGAAAAGCTCAAGGATGTGACCCTGAGGTTAGAGAGCCAGCAGGGCCAGAGCCAAGAGGCTCTACTTGCACTACACCACCAGTGGGCTGGCACCGAGGCACAGCTGCGAGAACAGCTCCGTACCAGCCTACTGCAGGCTGGCGCACTGGCTTCCCAGCTGGAACAGGAGAGACAGGAAAGGGCCACAAACATCGGGAACCGTGTTGGGGAGCTAGGAGACTTTCAGGCAAAAAACAGCCAGGCCCTGACATGCTTAGAAAACTGCCGAGAACAACTAAGGTCTCTGCCATGGGCCAGTCAGGACGAGCAAGACACATGTGCAGCCTCCCTGGCCAGTGTGGAAAGTGCACTCATAAGTGCCATCCAGGCCTTGCAGCCCTGGCCCGACCATGCAGACAGCACAGCCCAGGCAGTGGAGAACAGGGTGGCAGCCCCTCCACAACAGCCCTGCCAGCCTTCACTGAGTGAGGAGGAGCAAGTGAAGCTGCTTTCTGATCAGATAGCCCTGGAGGCCTCTCTGATCAACCAAATAGCAGACTCTCTTAAGAGCACAACCTCAGATGTGTCTCGTGTTCTCCATGAGATCACTCAGTCAGGAGAGTGGCTGCTGGAAGAAGGTGTTACTGTCTCTTCCAGGGCTTCAGCAGAGGCCTGGGCTAGGAAAGTGCTGGTGGACAGTGAATTCTGGAGCCAGGTCGAGTCTCTGAGCAAGCGCCTGGAAACACTGGGAGGAGAGACAGCCACCACATCAGGAGGCGGACAGCAACATGTACCCCAAAGCCTAGTTGACACCACATGGGTCCGGGCAGAGCTCAGTTTTGCCACACAGTCAGTGAGGGAGTCACTTCACCGTAGGCTGCAGACTGTTCAAGAGACCCTGCAAGGAACTCAGGCAGCCTTACAGCAGCACAAATGTGCACTGGGGGGAATCCTGGGCGCCTACCAAACCCCAGACTTTGAGAGAGTGATACAGCAGGTTTCAGAAGCCCTCAGGCATCCAGCAGGTGGTGAGGACAGTATGCACATATCCTGGAACCTGAGTCCAATGGAAAAAATGCTGAGTCCAGGCACGGCAGATGCCTCCCAGGAGCCCTTGCATGTCTCTCACCAGAGCCCCAGGGCCCTTGTTTCTATTCAAGAAGAGCTTGCCCAGCAGCTGAGAGAGAAGGCCAACATTCTAGAGGAGATCTCTGCTGCCTTGCCAGCTCTGCCACCTGCAGAGTCATTGAAGAATTGCCAAAAGCTTCTGCAGAAGTCCCAGAGTCTCTCGTACAATGCTTGTTTGGGAGGCCTTGGTCAGTATTCTTCATTGTTGGTTCAAGATGCAATCATTCAGGCTCAGGTGTGCTATGCAGCCTGTAGAATTCGATTGGAGTATGAAAAGGAACTCCAGGTTTATAAGGAATTTTGGCAGGCAAGGGGGACCTCCTGTCAGGAGCAGGCAAGAGCTGTTGGAGTACTGCAGGAAGAGTATGAAGAATTGCTCCGCAAGCAGAAGAGTGAGTATCTGGAGGTGATTGCCCTCATTGAAAGGGAAAATGCTGAACTCAAGGCCAAGATGAGCCAGTTGGACCATCAACAGAGGCATCTGGAAGAAGTGGAAAGCAAGCACAGTGAGAGCATGTTTGCTTTACAGGGCAGGTATGAGGAAGAGATCAGGTGTGTGGTGGAGCAGCTGAACCGCACGGAAAACACACTGCAGGCTGAGCGCAGCCAAGTCCTGAGCCAGCTGGATGCCTCAGTCAGAGACAAGCAGGACATGGAGCGACAGCACGTGCAGCAGATGCAAACACTGGAAGACAGGTTCCAGCTTAAGATCAAAGAGCTACAGGCCATCCATGAGGAAGAGCTGAGGGCCCTGCAGGAGCACTACTCGCAGAGCCTTCAGCACCTGAAGGAGACCCTCAGCCTTTGCCAGCAGCAGCACCCTGAGGCACTGCCCACCACCTGCCTCCACTGGCAGCCTGAGTCCGGAGCTGCTCTGTATCAGGCTTCCCCGAAGGCTGCTGTTGGGGAGGCTGACTCCATGACAGGGCTTCGGGAGCGCATCCAGGAGCTGGAAGCCCAGATGGACATCATGCGGGAGGAGCTAGGCCATAAGGAGCTGGAGGTTGACTCAGCCACACTGCGGGAGAAGTACCGGCAGGACTTTGAGAACCTCAAGGTCCTCAGTACTAATTTACTTTGTAAAGGCAATTCTTGATACGGAGGGGCAGGGGAAGGCAGGCTGTGGGGGCATCTGAGGCTCGTAGTGTAGCTGGGAGCTGGTTCTTGGCTCTTAGCTGTCGTACGGGCATTATCAAGGTAACATTCTGCTACCCAGAGGGGCAGCAGAGCTTGTTGGCTGTGGTGTGGTCTCGTCACCCATCCAGGAAGCCCAGCAGAAGGAAGTCAGTATCCCTGTGGGAGAGGAGAATACCTCTTCCCCTCCTCTCTGCCCTTACAGCGGCCCCTGTCCTGCCTTTTCCCTTTCTCATTGCCCCCAACCTGAGGCATTGCCCAGGACCATCTCACACTCTGGAAGGGCAATCACCTTCTGAGCGACCTACAAGAACAGAGTTGAATTTTGTGTCAAAAGCCCCTTTCCTTTCCCAGCTCCCTGTAAGGACCCAGCTTGAGTCAGCATTGGTCTAAGAAGGGCTTTTCTCTAGAGATGGCTTCCATCTGCTTCCACCCATTTCCCATTCTGCCTCATAGGCCCTGGCCCACAGAAGTAGCATCCCAGCCCACTCAGGGTGAAATGAGAACAGTCCACCTCTCTAGCCACCCTCCTTATGACTTCACACTGCATCATGCATGTAGCTAGATCATCTTAGGGACTCACCATCCCTTAGACTCAAGATTGCCCTAGTGGCTATCCCTTCATTTTCCTCCCCGTCTAGTAGGTCATGTGCATGTCAGCTTCAGTTGGACTGATACTTGCTATCTTGCCACACACTGTCACAGTGCTGTTCAGCAGGACACCTGAGGCTGTTTCCCAGTACCTTAGCCCTCTAGGGCTGAAAGAGAAAGGAAGATATACTTGGTCCACAATTGCTGCTTTGCTTCTGTGATGACACAACCGTGCCCAGAGACAAATGGGTGTTGGCAGTAAGCACCTTCTCAGGCAGCTAAGAGGCCATTTCTCACTATTCTTTTTCCATTTAGTTCAGATCTTTTAAAAAACCAATGTAAATTGTGAGAGTTTCAGTGGCTGTTTTCCCAGAGTGAATGTTTGATGACCCCGTGGTTAGTTCACTAAGCACAGCTTCTGATGGGTCTTGGTGCACATTTAAAAGTAAATGGCATAGACCTTGGCTTTGACCCCACATCCACTTACTTCCTAGTATCCTTTTCTACACATGCCTGTGGGGAGACCCCAGGCCACACTTACAGGCACCTGCTTTCTCTTTGCATCTGTAAGAGCTTCCTCTATGGAGAGGCTGTTCCAGCCCTGAATGAGTCAGCCCACTGTGCATGGGTTAGCCTTAGTGATATACCTGCAGATCACAAAACATCAAAACAATTGTGCCAAATCCAGGGATGCTCAGATGCAGGTGAAACAGGTTGGAAGGACCATCGGGCTTGGACATCTCCTCTGTGCTGCTCAAGCCCCACTGTATGATACCCCCATCCTGTGTCTGAGAGCTTCAGCTCCTGTGTGTCATCCTTATCAGTCGAGGCTTGCAGAATTTATAACCACAACCACACAGCTTTTGGAGAACCTGTCTGGTGTTAGTTACTTTATGCAGACTTCTGTCTTGGCAGGGAGATTGGAGGTCTGGCCTGACAGCGCCCCCTTTGACACTCACAGGCCAGAATCCCTACTGGCTGCCACAGTTCTGTATCATAGTCATCACCAAAGATTACTGTCAGTGTCTTGGCATCACTAGCCACAACTCTGTGTCAGATACTTTGAATTTTTTTGATCCCAGGGATGTTTGACCTAAAAATTATGATTTGTTTTAGATTAATTTTTATATGTAATTTAGCAAGGAAGCAACTGGATTTTTAAAGATACTTCACTGTTTCTATTAGAATCTTGACCCTTGTCTTCATATATTCCCAAGCCCTCAAATCAAAATATTATTTATAAGAGGACTGGGAATGTGTTGCTCAGTGGTAGAGCATGTGCCTACCATATACAAGGCCCTGGGTTCTGTCCCAAGTACCAGAGAGGGTGGGGGTTAGGGTGAGCATTCTTAATCTGGAAATCTCAGAGTCCATGATGTTCCAGAATCTGAAATTTTTTGAGTGCCAACATGATGCTACAAGTGGAAAATTACCTTTCTTCATGTGACAGATCATAGAATACAAGAGCTCTAAATTATCGTATAAATTCAGGCTGTGTATAAGGCATATGTGAAACATTTATGAAATGATTTCATGTCTAGACTTAGATCCCATCCCTAAAATAGATACAGATGCATAGAGATATATATCTTATTTATGCAAATATGTCAAAATCTAAATCCAGACTTAGGATAACTTCTGATCCAAGCATTTAGATAAGCCTCTGGTTATGTGTGTTGACTGAGAAGCCATGTATGGACCAATCGGGGGGAATATGCTCAGCAGTGGGGCCTGAGGTCCCAGCCCTCGCACACTATCTGCAGACCTGGGCTGAGACCTGACATGTGTGCAGCCCTATTGCAGTGTGAAGACTGGGAGAGGGCCCAGGAGAAAGGCATTTTGTAGAGTTCAGCAATGGTATAGTATGCCCTGTTAGTGAAGAGCAGTAATTAAGGCCTTTACTTCTTTAGCAAGTAAGTTACAGTGAGGTCCAGCATATAGCTAGAAGTTAGAAAATACTGACAGAAGGTTCAGGAAGGCCCTTTAAGGGTTGCAGGACTCAGAAAGATACAAAGCATGGTTATTTGATTCTTAGTATCATTTCTTAAATCCACAGGCAGAAAGATTAGACAGTTAGCATAGGATCAGAGCTGCTGGGGGAATCCCTGCACACTTGTACTTGAATATTATAACTGGGATATTCTCCCAGTTTTTAAAAATCAGCCCTGATCCCCTGCCCTGAAGTGGCTCTTACCAGGGGTTTAGACAGAAAGTATGGCTCTATGCTCAAAGTAGCTGCATGTTCCTAACACTCGAAGCTGTAGCTGTAAGGCCTGCTTAGTAGTCATAGAAGCTCTAACAGGCCAGGCCTGGGTTTCCTGTGTAGCTATGTGGGATTATTTGATCACTTTATGGGCACATAGGTGTCTTGCCAGGTTATAACACGGCCCATCTGTTAGGCATGTTATTAAGGTAGTGGAGGCCCTCATTGATTAGTGCTCCTCCATATTCTCACCAAAGACAGGAAGTAAGGAGACGAAGGGCAGCAGGAAGAGATTCTGTGCCCTGTTCTTACTCCCTTGGTGGACACCTGAGCTGTCTATGGCCAGCATAAAGCTGCCAGCCAGCTAGTAACAGAGACAGGCTCCATGCCTCCAGAAATGGGCTCTGTGTTCCCCCACCCATAGAGGATGAGTAGGAGCCTCCCAGATAGGTTACCCCACATCTCACAATGACCTCGGCTCCCTGCAGCTGACAGATCTATCATCCCTGTTTGTGGCAGCACCGAGTACATCTCACATCACTTCACTGCCGGCACAAGTGTTCTGTTCCCATCCTTGCTGGTGACACCACACAGGCCCAGGTCTGGCTAGTTTAAATTCCACCGCACACTCTTTGCACCCACAATACCAGCCTTTCCTATGAAGAATTAGGATTCAGATCAGCCACAGAAAACTTTGTGGTAAAACACTCTGCAAGTGCCCATTGTAGTGCCATTGGGCCTCCACACAGCCTCAGGAGCCTGCTCTCCACTCAGGCTTATTTCCAGACAGGTGCAATGAATATAGGTTACCACTGGGTCTGGACAGGCAGAGTTCCTGCTGATTCTTTACACAGGATCCCCAGCTCAGAGGCCCAGAGAGAAACCCAGCATGCCTCTTTTGCTTCTGCAGGCCACATGTGAGCGGGGCTTTGCTGCAATGGAGGAGACGCACCAGAAGAAGATTGAAGACCTTCAGAGGCAGCACCAGAGGGAGCTAGAGAAGCTTCGGGAAGAAAAGGACCGCCTCCTGGCTGAGGAGACTGCTGCCACTATCTCAGGTGGGGCTGGACCTGACGGTGGCAGGTGGTCTACTCCCTAGGCTGGTCCTACAACTCAAAAAAGTGATTGGCTTTTCACTGCCTTTTGGCTGAGATTTAAGCTTCATTTTCAAGAGAGTAGTTTGGCACTTCTGAGAAAAAGGCTGGTTTGAGAATCCTTTGAGAACCTCCAGAGAGCCAGTGTATGGGGTTTGAGGACACTGTTATGCCAGCTCCCAGAGGGCCCATTCCCACCTCATCAGCCCTCTGACATTGTCAGCATGGGACGCCTCCAAGCCAGGGCATGAAGGTGCCTCAGCTCCTTCCCAGTGAAAAAATTTTGTCCTAGACCCCTAAGCAAGTACATCCAATCATCTGGGGCTCTTATGTACCTAAGCACTTTATGGTGGCTTTTATTTTAGTGTCAAGGAAAGCTGCTTATTTTATAAACTCATACTTGAATTTAACACTGACATTTATCTAATCAGTTTTAGTTCTTTCTAACACTAAAAATAATACACCTTTATTCCCTGTGGGAGGTGCATGGTTTGGGGGTTCCACATCCACCTTGAAAGGTTTTTATGAGGCCAGTCTGTTAGTCCCACTGCAGATGGATTCAGCATCAGCAGTGAGAAAATGTTGAGCCTTCCTGTCTGCCTTGGCCTGACAGAGAGGCAATGGCATGGTGGGGAGGGCCCCATCAGCTGTATGGCCCTATTTTCTTGGTATTGAGGGCCACGTCCTGCCCGTAGCCATTGAAGCCATGAAGAACGCCCACCGGGAGGAGATGGAACGTGAACTGGAGAAAAGCCAGCGGTCTCAAATCAGCAGCATCAACTCCGACATTGAAGCCCTGAGGCGGCAGTACCTGTGAGTCCCCTCACCCCACTGTCTGTGAGCCTCAGGGCTGGTCCCAGAGGAGGCCACGGTCTTGAGTGCATCCCAGATCCTTTTCCTCTGCAGTGGTGAAGCTGCCCTGCCAAGGGCTTCTTGTGTTAAAGCAGATCTCTAAAGTGCAAAGAAAAAGTCACCACATATGAAAATTTTAAATTCTTACTGCCCAGGGCTTGCAGTAGAGGCTTTTTTTTTTTTTTTTTTTTTTTCTTCCGGGTTTTATCTTTGGGTTTTGAA